AATGTTGTAATCATAGCATTTCCCAGCCCTTTGAGGCCAAAAAATGCAGCTTAATTCACCCGCATTACTGCGTTCCTTGGTTCATAGTTTTAATTGACTGATTTATAATTATAATGGTGGATATGTCAAGAATAAATACTCAAGTAGAATCACATACAACATGCTTCTTATAACAATTTCTTCSTTTAGGTCTAAAATAATCCAATATGCTTGTTGGAGGTCGACTAACTTACATTGATTTAGTACATGTACTTTTGATGTTGTTTTTTTTCAATGTACAATTATATTCATCACCATCATCCTGCGGCCTCAGCTGGGAGTGAGTGCATAACAGATCCACGGTCAGATAATTATATTAACATGTCATCAAATTGCTTTCATTAGAATGACACAAATCACTATACTAAACCATGCATGGATACATGTATTACAGCAACTACTTATCAAGGGATTTACTATGATAAAATAAGTATAATATCAGCCATTGACTGGTTATTAGTTTTTTGCCCTGAATATTKGTGCTGGTAATGAAGGGCTGTCAACGCCAGGACACCTTCATTCCTGGAATTAGATAATCCACCATTTTGTTTATACTTTTCAAATGTTGAATCCTCCAAAAAGTGTGAATCCTTAAAACTGCCCAAAGACAAATAATAATGCTTTAGCCATAAAAAGTTTCACTATTTTACTCTAGATTTCCAGTGAGAACTTGGAGATATTTGCCAATTTGCATTCTATTTTTTAAAGGAGGTTTTGTGTAATCTTGAGACTCCAGGGTTATCTGGGAGAGTTGACAGCCCTGAATCAAAGAATCTAACAAAAACCTACAGTGGATTGATTCCTACCTTGGGTTTAGGAGGTGTACAAGAATAAAAACCATCCACATAGCGTATAGCCTGAATCAATAATGAATTTAGTGTCTTAACTGATCAATAGTCAATATTACTTCTACACATAGAGAATAGCCTGAATCAATAATCAATGTAGTGTCTAAACTGATCAATACAATAAGATTACTAGATGTGGGCAAACAAATTGAGGGTGACATTGAAACAAGAAACATTCTTATCAAATAACCATCTTAAGCACTATTTAGTTAGTACACATTTATGTATTCACTCTAAATATAGTATGGTTAATAGACCGAATTAGTATTACATCTTATCAATTCATTAATAATTCATAAGGTGAACACAATGGAAAATTATTGCTTCGATTGCATCTTTATATGAACAAGAGATTTGTCCTGATAATTACCACTATTTAACTACAACTTATTGTTTATGTTCATTTTAGGAAACTACCGTTACCTTCTATTACTATTTCACATCCTACTGCATGTTAGTCTCCTTGCAGCCGTGTTAAGTTTCAGTCACTAAACACAGCTGTGAGGAGACTAACTGCATGATTGTACTTAGAAAATGAATAGTCTTCTTCACGGTTCCCTGCGCCATCTTGAAAGGTAGACGAAACGAAGTGAGTCGACCATTGAGCGTGCAACGATAGAAACCTTCTTTTACACCTACAGACAATTTATTCACACAGGTATTTCTYATTGTATGCTCAACAGCTGTCTCGCTTCGATGCAAAGGCTTGGCTACCTTTCAAGATGGTGCAGGGAACCATGAAGGAGACTTTTACTAATAATGTTACATTTGATAAATCTAAAGTATTTATAATATACACACTACTTTTTGGTTTATTAAATTTGTAACTAGCTTACCATGATAATTTACTGTTACATTTTACTAGTTATTTGCAAAAATTCTGACCAATGAAGTAATTATTTAAACATATTTAGTCATGGTATTTAGTCATGGTATTTAGTCATGGTATTGGTAGCTCAAAAAGTATTTTTAAACTTTTAAAAAAGTTAATTGATGTTATGTATTCAATATCTTAATATCATTTATTTTATTTTAGTGTTTTTTAATGTCAACATTCTGCAGTCCTGTACATGGGTTTGAATGTAAGTTTGTGAGGAGATGGATAAGGGGTAGGTTAAATTTAATGCATGCTCAGTTGCTATGGTAACAAAGAACATCATGGTATAAATCAAGTTATTTATAATGAGTAAATACCTCTTCTTCTTCCTCGTCATCATCTGCAACATTGTCATCATCGTCATCTTCCTCACTAGTGCTCAGGGTTCTTTTAATGTTCTGACAATGTTTTTTAATGAAGTCATAAACATGTTCAATCCTGCAAGATAACGATTGCTTGATATAACGATTGCTTGATATAACGATTGCTTGATATAACGATTGCTTGATATAACGATTGCTTGATATAACGATTGCTTGATATATTTGCAGTGACTGGGGGATGGTTCATAATGATTGCTTGATATATTTGCAGTGACTGGGGGATGGTTCATAATGATTGCCTGATACAGCTGTTTCAAAAAAAACCCCGTTGTCGGAGAGAACGGCGAACATCGATTGTCCCGAAAGGGACTATGGTTACACTTAAAATTTCTCAAAGTTTCACTTATTGGATTCACCTTATATAGAAATGGAGGCTGAATGKAGMCAATATTCAAAGCTTATTAAATTTGTAAACAAGCATTATGACRCTATATTTGGAAAATTCMGCCATTGGATAAGAGATTTAATGCCCATTCTGGCTGTCTATAGGGTAAATWTAATTGTTCCAAATAAGGAAATGAGATGCAAATTAGATTTGAAGATTCCAACRGTCGGCACGGCGTWACASSTTTCAAGTCCCTTATGGGTTTCTGACACCATTGCATACCTTGAAGCTGGAATAGCAAACCAGTGCTCTCTTCTTCGTTTGTCTCTATTCATGACATTCTCAGAGTCTTTGTGACTGTGGTACCCCTCCCCTCCTGCTAAACACAAGCACCAGTGCTGCTTACTAATCCTTAAGCACAGGTAGACCAGATTGTCTTCATATGTCGTAGCAGGTCGAGGTATTATCTCTTCTTCAAAGGCATGATCATCTGTGGAATACAGAATTTAGATATGAACTTAGCTATTCTTTCTGTGATGTAAGCTCTTTATTATAACTATTAACATCATCATCATCACTATATAATAATCAACATCATCATCACTTTTTTTATTATTGCCAACAATTATTAATTATTATTTGCCATACTTTCTGTGATGTAAGCTCTTTATTATAACTATTATCATCATCATCACCACTATAATCAACATCATCACTTTTATTATCATTGCCAACAATTATTATTATCATTATTATTAACTGCTGTATTTTCTGTG